TTTGGTTTCTCTGTTCTTTCCCTCCGAGCTAGGGGACCTGGTGGGCTCGGTGTTGAAGCGTTCTAATGACCCCGAGTTTGTGTTGTAGCGGATGATTTGAATCAAAGGCCAGGTACTGGTCAGTGTGAGTGGACTTTCTGAAGACCTCAGTCTCTAATTGTCCGTTCTCCAGTATGATGACCTTACAATCTAGAAAGGCGAGTTCACTCTCCTTAGCATCCTCGCGAGTGAAATTTATAAAAGGGTCCACCGAGTTAATGTGTGCTGAAAATGGTTCCACTTCCTGTTTCTTTAACTTAACCCATGTATCGTCTACATATCGAAAATTCTGGCTCGGGAGAAGAATTGGTTTGAGAGAGGGGTGAAAGAAGCCATTTTTGTGAGGAAACAAAAACCTTCTCTTAACAGAGGAGGAGGGTTAAGATTTGTTTTGCCTCGCATCTGTGACGACATCCTAAAAACAACGCCCTAACTTGGGACAAGGTCAGTGACATGCTAATGAGTTAAGAGGTGTGAGACCTGCACTCCACTTGAGCATCCCAGCAGACAATAGGTCTGTGACATGCTAAGGAGTTAGGGTCGTTAGCCTTAGCAGGGTCGTTAGACCTGCTCCCTTCTACATCAAGCAGACCTTAGATTGTTTACGAGTTAGTATCAGGATTAGGGTGTGGCTTACCACACCCATAGGTTATAAATCTCCAACGCGCGGTCCGAGAATTCATTCCCTGAAGAAGTCCGCTAGGTTGAGGACGAAACGTCGGGAAAACTTGCTAAGAAGTACAGATGATGGGTGAGAAACCTTCCTTTGCTTTGACTAATCCCTGTACGACTGAGGGCTTACACAAACAAATTCAATAATATATCTGGACACAATGTAAATGAAACAAAATCATCTTTGTTATTACTAAACGAAAAGGAAAGAACTAATCCAACCTCACAACTATCTTACTCTAAATGTAAAACGGTGGATCAATTCCAATATTTAGGAATTCAAATCTCTACTAACTTGGATCAAGTGGTTAAAATTAACTATGACAATATAAAGGAAGAAATTAAGAGCTCTATTGAGCGATGGATGTCATTACCCATTACAATATTGGGAAGAATAAATATCTTAAAAATGAATATCTTGCCAAAACTGCTGTACCTGTTTCACAATATTCCCCTTCCTCCTCCTCCGGAATTTTTTGCATGGATAAAAAAGATCACAGTTGCTTTTTTATGAAACAACAGAAAGTCTAAACTCCGTCTATCTCTATTGTATTTGCCTTTTGATAGGGGAGGGTTGAAATGCCCCAATGTTTTATGGTATTACTGGGCTACGCAAATGCGTTCCATGACATTTTATTTTACAGCCGAAAACAACCCACATTGGGTAGAAATGGAGTCTCATAATATGAATCTATCTATGCCTTCATTCTTGTACTCTGACAAGACATCAAATCTACTAAAACAAATAAGAAATCCTATCCTAAAGAATTCAGTAAGGGTCTGGTACGACATAAAGAAATACTTAAAGGATTCAAATGTTCTTTCACAGTTTAGCCCAGTGTGGGGTAACCAACTCTTTACTCCTGGAAGAGCAGATGACACATTTAAATTATGGTCATCCAGGGGATTGAAAACGATTGGTGATCTCTATTCACAGAAATCCTCTGTCTTCATGTCTTTCGATGAACTTAAATTAAAGTTTAATTTAGTTAACAAACATTACTTTAAATACTTACAATTAAGAAGCTTTGTGAATATGAATCAAAATATCACCAAAATCCCCTTGTCACAATTAGAAAAACTGTTCATAAAGGACAAATTTAGGAAAGGTATAATCGTATAATCGTATATAATCTGTTATGTTCTAATTCAACAGAAACTTCCAGTAATAAATTGTTGTCTTGGAATAAAGATCTGTGTATAAATATCGAAAATTATGACTGGGAAAAGGCATGCAGCAAATGTCAGACGATGTCTGTCAATAGCAGGCTAAGGGTAATACACTTCAAATGGTTAATGCGTATTTATATTACACCAGTAAAACTAAATAAATATAACAGGAATATACCAGACACATGCATAAAATGTTGCTACAAAGGAACCTTGATACATTGCATGTGGGAATGTAGCCAGATAAAATTATTTTGGTCAGAAATAAAACAATTGATTGAAAAGATAATTTCAAAACGCATTGACTTAGATCCTAAACTATTTTTACTTTTCACTACATTCTAAAATGTATAATCTTATTAAAGAGGAAGGTGCATTTCTAGATATTGGCTCATTAATAGCGAAAAGATGTATAGCTTTGGCCTGGAAAAATGTTAACAAGCCGAGCAGCAATCAGTGGTTGAAGCAGATGCTTTCAAGCCTTCCTTTAGAGAGGATTGCCTATATCCACAGGGGAAAGCAACATATTTTTGAGAAGATTTGGGGACCTTTTGTGAACTTTGTACAGGACTTGGACATAACTGATGACTTGAACGATTCTTAATGAACCCTGTAATTAATGACCAATGTGAATTTAATACATGTCCTACGAGAAGCTTTTGTTTTGGGTTGTTTGTTAATTTGTATCTTAATTTTTTACTGTAAATAACATGGTGAGACATTGTCCATAAGAGAGTGTGTAACTAACTAATGTGCCATGGCAGAAAATTTCAATAAAATATTTATGGCAAAAATTCCCATCCAAATAGACAAATAAAATAATGACTATATAAATGGTTGAGGTTAGACCCCAGGCAAAGCTTTTGACCATGATCGGATATGTCCCTTTTTTTTGCAGAGTCTGATCTTTTTTAGCCTGGTCTTACCATACCCTCGTACACATTTTATTTCATACTAATGGATTGAGCTCAGTTAACAGGTGGGAGGGGTCAACTCCTGTCGTTAGCATTTAGCCAAGCTTTAGCATTTAGCCTAGCTTTAGCTATCTTCTTTGCCACTAATGGAGCCGGAGCCCGTGGGGAGTAGAGTCACAACATCTTTGCAGCAAAGACATTTACTACATGTCCTCTTGCTTCCGCGTCAGTTTCTTGATAGAACCAGAACGGTTAATTTTACTATCCCATTCTTTGCCAAACTACGACTGGCCAATTCGGCGCAAACCCTTGACGTCACCTACACCCCTCTCCCACGCTCGCTGATTGGTCAGATGGGATTCAACCGATGTAATTAAAGACACAGGGACCAGACCAAGACGGTAAATGCAGGGAAATGATAATTGACCGGAGTTCACGGATGGCTAAGGCCAGGCTAGGTTCTTTTTGATGGTCTTCCAAGAAGTTCTTCTCAAAGCCCCTGTGACCTGTGATCCACTCTCCTCACACAGTGGGCCTTCTGCTTCCTCCTCGTCTCCAGTGAAGGAACAGGTTAACCCTTCTATTATGTTAAGGGTCAATTTGACCCATTTCAGTTTTTGTGTTGATCAAAGTACTGGTTATCCTTTATTTTTCTTGCTGAAATTTGGTGACTTTTCCTCATCTAGGGTCATGAACTGGTGTGTAAAATCTGGACACCTTGATGTGTAGTGGAATGTCTGTGCAGAGTTTGTATACAAAGATGATGTTGTGGGTCATTTTGACCCAGACGCTTCAATGTGGGTAAATAGTTGTTCAGATCCAAAAAAAACATGTCTCTTTGACATTGTATTTTGATTACCCCTGAGACCCAGAGCCAGGTGTGTGAAGAGAGGGAACTTTTTCACACTTGTCCTTGCCACTGTTCTCATGTCATCTCTTTTTCCCAGCGTACATCGGACTGGCAACTGAATATATCCGTCGCCTTTGAGTTGCTGCCCCGCACACATCGACAATGTGGCGAAAACGGGCAACTCTTAGTAGCAGGCCAGTCTCGGGAATAACAGCGCGTACATCGACAGCAACTGGCCTCAACTACAGTGTGTTTTCTGACATAAACTGTAGAGGGCGCAATACACGCAATACACAAATGTTGTTGGAGCGCGCACATCGGGTGGTATCTCCGGATCTGAGTAAAACTAGTTGCCGAAAAGTAGAACACGGGCAACTGACTGAATCCGGAGATCGACTGTTTATCTCCAGTTGTAAGAGCGCGCACATCGACCGATTTCAACTGATCAGCTCCATCATCTAATCTCAGTTGCCAAAAGCCGCCTTGCAACTAGTTGTCTCCAGTTACTCTGTCGATGTGCACTAGGCTTTAGACAAACTCGCCAAAAATGAGCTCCAGAAGGATGACATCTGAGGAGGCTTTATCACAGATTTTTAACTGGGATAATGATGTAGAGGAAGAGATTTCAAAAACAGAGGATTTTTCAGAGACAGAGGACAATGTTATTGCTGATCCAGATTGTCAATTTTCCTACGATAAGGAGGATTCAGAGGACGAATCTTTGGTCAAAGAAGAGGAAGGGAGGAAGAAAGGAAGGTAGGAAGGAAAGAAGGGAGACAGGAAGGAAGGAAGAGAAAAGAAGGGAATATAGAAGGATGAACAGAGAGAAGGAAAACAGGATGAGAAAAAGGAAGGAGAAAGCATGGCAGGAGGAAAGAAGGAGGGAAGAATTGTCATTTCGACCCGAGAGGAGGACAAGAAGATTAGATTAAATAATTCTTAAATATAGTGTTGGAATTAAAAATGTATTGTATGTCACTTTTGTAAATATTTATAAAACCTAAAATAAAGTTGTTATTGGTTTAACCTGTTTTCTTGACTGTTTTGAGTGCATTTACACAATACGGGTCAAAATGACCCGCAACATAATCAATGTCATTTTTTTCCAACATAATACAAGGGTTAAACAAGTCTAGTCTAGATGTCTCCCCTATTGGTCATCAGATGCAGGTGTCACGTGCTGGACGACACAATAAAGCACCTGATATTTTGTTGTAGTAATGTACTGAAGACATGGACAGAGCTCATACCAGGTGTAGATACCAGGTGTAGATGATATCTGTGTGTTTGTGGACGTGACGCAGCCTGTGGTGAAGGCCTCTCCAACACTGAAGCTCTCTTCTTCTGTGTCTCAGGATCCTCCACAAACTTCAGTCTGGACCTGGTCCCAGATGTGAGTCCCTCAGGAGTAACCATTCGATGGGAGAACCACTGCGGTTCACAAGCAACCGGTTGATGGAAGAACCACTGAAGTTCAGGAGTGACCAGTCGATGGGAGAACCATGGAACTTCAGGAGTGACCAGTCGATGGGAGAACCATGGAACTTCCGGACAGAGTGAGTCTCACATAAGCTGATGAAAGCATGGATCCATATGAACATAAGTGTCTCTGTCTCGTCCACAGAGTGGATGATGCAAATGTCTCCAGTGGTCCACACCATCGCACACACCTGGACTCCTTATTTAAGGTCTGTTGCTTACTCATGTGGAAGGACTAGTTTCACACTGATGTGACACTGATGTGTTCCATCTCCTGATGCTAAAGGCAAGGCAAGGTGTTAATGCTAGTTCAGCCCTGGTTTGTCCTTAAACAGTCTCTGTATCTGAATACAGGGTATCAGCTAATGCTGTGTTAATAATTTTGCTGGTTAAAGACTTAGCACATGGCAACAAACAAGTGACAAATATGCAAAATAAAACCAAAATCATTATTGCAGGTGTAGCTATCTTCAATATCAGTTGCCACCATGCACCAGTAGAAAACCATGACAATAAGTCCCAATTTATGTTGGCACTGTCTCGTTCACTTAACATTTTAGTTTTAAGGTTTTTTAACAGATCCAAAATTAGTGAATAATTTGAGTTGGATGATGGAATGAACGTACAACAATGGTCTCTAATTAACTGACACACACCCCCAGTCTCAGATAAAACAAAGTCTAATGCTACTCGATTCTGCATGATCATTTGTCGCATAGCCTCCCTCTCTGGATCTGTCCTGATTTGTTAAGTAAGGTCCATGACAATATTAGTCAAATTTTCCAAATTCCATGCTATATCATTCATCCTATGACCTAAATAAGCAACTCCATACATGGGAAGGGCTGTCATGAACACTCCTCTAGCATTTGAAATTAAAGGTGGGCTTCTGGCAGCTGTGGCAGCCATTTTCCTCCTCTGGCCTATGAGCTGGGTCAAGTTACTACTTGAGATTACAAAGGAGGCCGGACCTAGGGTGGCCAGATGACATGCACCACACCATCGCTCTGGAAGCCACAGATACACTCTGTCTCCACAAACCCATACCTGGTTTGACGGACATGGGTAGCCCCAAAATCCCGGGACCGTCACAGAAAAAGCTGGATATGAGTGCCAGTTGGCCACTCCACTGACCTCGCCAACTTTAGTGAAATTGATCACCGGGACTTCTCGTGCAGTAGGGGTAGTAGTGAAGTATAATCTGTGATGTATCTCAGAGGTTTGTTGGTTATATGTGACAATAGGCAGAACATCATCACAGGTGGATGTTCCTACATATTGGTTAGCATCTTCCCAGGGCCCCGGCACATTGCATTTCCTACTCAGACACAGAGGGGAGTTGATTGGATAGCGTGCCACCGTTACACCTTTTTCATTAGTCACATTTGTATTTAACCCTTGTATTATGTTAAGGGTCAATTTGACCCATTTCAGTTTTTGTGTGGATCAAAGTACTGATTAACCTTTCTTTTTCTTGCTGAAATTTGGTGACTTTTCCTCATTTAGGGTCATGAACTGGTGTATAAAATCTGGACACTTTCATGTGTAGTGGAATGTCTGTGTAGAGTTTGTATACAAAAATGATGTTGCGGGTCATTTTGACCCAGACGCTTTAATGTGGGTAAATAGCTGTTCAGATCCAAAATAAACATGTCTCTTTGACATTGTATTTTGATTGCCTCTGAGACCCAGAGCCAGGTGTGTGAAGAGAGGGAACTTTCTCACACTTGTCCTTGTCACTGTTCTCATGTCATCTCTTTTGCCTAGCGTACATCGGACTGGCAACTGAATATATCCGTCGCCTTTGAGTTCCTGCCCCGCACACATCGACAATCTGGCGAAAACGGGCAACTCCTCGTATCAGGCCAGTCTGGGGAATAACAGCGCGTACATCGACAGCAACTGGCCTCAACTACAGTGTGTTTTCTGACATAAACTGTAGAGGTCGTGCAATACACGCAATACACACATGTTGTTGGAGCGCGCACATCGGGTGTTATCTCCGGATCTGAGTACTAGTTGCCGAAAAGTAGAACACGGCAACTGACTGAATCCGGTGATTGACTGTTTATCTCCAGTTGTAAGAGCGCTCACATCGACCGATTTCAGCAACTGATCATCTCCATCATCTACTCTCAGTCGCCAAAAGCCTTGTATCTAGTTGTCTCCAGTTACTCTGTCCATGTGCGCTAGGCTTCAGACAAACTCACCAAAAATGAGCTCCAGAAGGATGACATCTGAGGAGGCTTTTTCACAGATTTTTAACTGGGATAATGATGTAGAGGAAGAGATTTCAGAAACAGAGGATTTTTCAGAGACAGAGGACAATGTTATTGCTGATCCAGATTGTCAATTTTCCTACGATAAGGAGGATTCAGAGGACGAATCTTTGGTCAAGGAAAGAGGAAGGGAGTAAGGAAGGAAGGAAAGAAGGGAGAAAGGAAGGAAGGAAGGAACAGAAAAGAAGGGAATAGAGGACGATGAACAGAGAGAAGGAAAACAGGATGAGAAAAAGGAAGGCATGGCAGGAGGAAAGAAGGAAGAATTGTCATTTTGACCCGAGAGGAGGACAAGAAGACTAAATATTTCTTAAATATAGCATTGGAATAAAAAAATTTATTGTATATCACTTTTCTAAATATTTATATAACCTAGAATAAAGTTGTTATTGGTTTAACCTGTTTTCTTGACTGTTTTGAGTACGTTTACACAGTACGGGTCAAAATGACCCGCAACATAATCAATGTTATTTTTTTTCAACATAATACAAGGGTTAAAGAGAAGTTCTGTGGAATTCTCCAATCTGTTACATTTTGAATTGAGAGAGTAGTGCAATTTAGCAGCTATTCCATATATTTAGAGTAGCTCATGCCTATTGAATGTAAGGTATAAAAAGCTAGAGTGCATATAGTTGTTAAAGCTGAGACTGGATGGGGTATTATGTAAGGATTTGAATTTGAATGATGAGGGACAAATGCACAAACATAACAATCTGACATATTGTTTGCTTGTGCCGTTATTTCAGCCATGCGATACCAGTAGTTGTCTTTATAGTGATCTACATCCATTTCTGCCCTCGTTGTGCGCTTGACATTGTTACAGTGTTGACTCTCCCACCAGAGCAGCGGTGGAACCACAATGACTGTCAATGAAATCAGCATAATTAGACCAGTCCTGTATCTAAGTCCATGTCGAGTGGAGAACACTTGGAAATCCATCTTGTCCTTGAAGAGTCCTTTTTTTTTTTTAAACAGTACAAGATGAGAGGTTACTAGCTGTAGCACCTGTGGCCTGATTAAATGTTGAGACTAATGAATATAAGTCAAAGTAACCAGGTAACACAATTGAAAGTCTGGGCTAGTAACAGAAGTCTAGTTACGGCTCTAGGAGGGAGTGGACAGGAGACGGAATAACTTTTTGCAGGTACCATGCATTTAGTAATAAAGATGAGTGTACACCAAGTATAGATAGAATGGCCATTCAGTAATAAAGTACAATAGCAACAATGATTCAATGCAGCTGTCGAAATAAAACTCAATCATCAGACATATTATAAAAAAGTACAAAAAAGTCCAGAACCCACAACTTGGTAACCCTCAAAGCTGAGGGATTCAACACACTTCCCGACCCCTCCACAAGTCCCAAGGAGAACCCACGTCTGGGTTATAGTGTGAATGTCCAACGGGGAATTGTCTTTAGAGTTTATGGGGGGAATAGTGTGTGTGGGCAGTGAGAGGTGCGTGGGGAGAGTTCGTGGGCTACAAGGAGCCTCCTACCAGCCCGGCAGGAGAGGTGCTTCCGTTCCTTCAGCGGAGTGCCAGACTATAGGCTCTCTGCCTGCTCCTTTCTAGCTTGCCATCATCGAATCAGTAGGAACCATGGCCCTTGAGAACAAGACCAAAGCTCCAATAAATAACCAGGTACCAGTTTAGTTCTGATCCAAGCTAGTTGTTTAAAGCTAAAATCACTCAGGCTAATGTGCACATATAATCAATGATACATATAATATTACAATAAGAATCATAATATATCTTATCCATAAATAGCAATGCTATCAATCTCATTCAAAATACAATGTTCAATAATACTATTTTAACCTTACTGTATTGTAAAGATCAGTACATATTCAGTCATCAAAAGTCATTATCAATATAGTATAAACAGTAACCAAAAACAACACCAGAGAGTGACAATGTCAATGAAAATGTACAGCTACATATGCTGTTTTAGGACACTGACTAAACACCATAAAAACGGGAGCTTAGCCACTTCAACATACATTGGAAACAGTATTCTCACATGTTAATTGCATGTACATTAAATTCATTGTGGACATAGTCCAGAAACAGGCATTAACACTGTGAAAATTGAGGAAATAGAATGCTAATCGGCATAACAAGACTGCACTCACCAGTTCACAATGAATCCCTACTTAAGACCTTTCCCACTCGGTTTGGGACACGGTAGGAGACTCCTATAAGTTAGCGCATAAACCAGGTAAGTGTCACGAAAAATGGAACAAGTTAAACAGAGGAAAATCGAGTGTTTGACAGACCTGTAGCACGCCTCTGATGTTGCTTCCCCCACAGCCACTACAGACTGATGCAGGCCGCCATATTAGAATGCGTGATACGTGGCATGATGACGTCACACAAAGAAACACAGTGATTGGCTAACAGATATATAGCTATAGTGAATGGGGAGAGAATATAAAAAGGCTTGGGCAGACACACACAGGTTTTACCACCTGGGTTACATAGCACATCATCAAGTTGTACAAACTGTGTTCCTTGTGCATTAAACCACTGGAGGATCCCCTGCTTCACTGACGGTTGAGACGAGCAGGTTCTGCCCCCCTTTGTAGGTCAGACTTCCCCCCCTGTGGTTTACACAAGATCCTTCAGAGTTCTCTTTTTGCAGTGTGAGAGGTGAATCCACGTGGACCTTTCTGCTATCTTCACAGCAGTGGGTGTCGTCAAAAGCACCCACCGTGGACTGGACCAGGACTTCCGTTTAATGACTTTCACAAACACCCAGTCTCCAACTCGAACAGGTGGCTCCTGTGCACAAAACGGTTGACTCGGAACATTATTTGTTTCTTGACAAGTTCTAGTCAATAATGTTTTTCTCATATAGTCAGCCAACGTGGGGTTATCATCAGGAGACAACTGGTTGTTTGGCTGTAAATCTGGAAGTGTATATGGCCTAC